TTTTTTTTTTTTTTTTGTATGCACGCTTTAATATTTTAATCCTTTTTTCCCTTTGCTGTAGTGTACTTTTAATGGGGAATCCAATTTAATTTTATGACTTGTTTCAAGAACAACCTGGGTACCTTTAATGCATTGCGTTGACCATGATAATGTTCCCATCCCTCTTACCAACTAGAAAATTTATGTTCTTATTTTGATTGCTGTGGCCTTTGCATTGAGTAGAACCTCTGAAAGTGTGAAAATAAGCCCCACTTTAAATGCGGAGTGGCTGATGCGGAGTCTGACCAGTTGTCTAAGCAACTGCTTCATAAGGTAGTGGGAAGAGGTTCTCATCTGAGGTCCGTACACGTGTGTGTAAGCAGTGGTTCATTTACACTTAAGAACCTTTGTCTCCCCTCTTTTCTGTGGACAGATAGATTTTTTTTCCCCGTCTATGTAATACTTTTTTATTTCTTTTTGTTATGTGGACTAAAGTTGTTTTATGGTTTTTAATTTTGTATTGTTAGAATATGCCGTCTTAACAGAGTAAAAGTTCACTTTTTTTAAGTTACGTTTTTATTTCATTTTCTTAATGTTTATTGATTTATTTTTGAGAGAGGAGAGGAAGAGAGCAGAGGAGGGGCAGAGAGAGAGAATCCCAAGCAGGCTCCACACTGTCAGCTCAGAGCCTGTTGCAGGGCTTGAATTCAGGAACCATGAGATCATTACCTGAGCCCAAATGAAGAGTCCGCCGATTAACCGACTGAACTACCCAGGCGCTCCTCACTTTTTTAAAGTGTTATAATTTAAAACTAGCTGTTTATGATATTTTATGATTTCTACCCTAAAACAAAACTTGTCTTTTCTCCTCTGAAAAACAACGGACATAATTTGTTTTGTCATTGTCGGGGTTTTGCATTCGACAAATTCCTGCCGGGCTATGGGCTATAGATGCAATTAAGATTTTATTATAATTTTATTTTCTTGTTGAATCTTGTTATTATTAGTGGCTTCTTTCCTTATCATGACGTGAGATAGGGTAGGAAGATATATTTGACCTGTTAGATGTTATTATGGTGTAGAGTATTGGTGACCAATAATTATTAATCCTCTACTATATCTAAATTGTACATAATATGTTTTGGTTATTATACATCACTACTTCTATAGTCATTCAAAATGTGTTCTTTGATTACAGCCTAAAGAAAAAATTATTATTTCTGTTAACTGGACACCATTAAAAGAAGGCCGAGTAAGAGAGATTGTGACATTTCTTGTAAATGATATTCTGAAACACCAAGCTATATTACTAGGAAATGCAGAAGAAAAGAAAAAGAAAAAGGTAATAAGTTTTAATCATTCTGTGATTTACTCTAAGAAAATAATAACATATAAGAATCATTTTATATTTATATTTATATTTTGATAAGTCTAAAAGTAACATGTCTGATATTGCTAATTTAAAGGTAATTTTCAGTAGCTGTCAACCTAATCTGTATGTTTTGCTTATTTTTGCAGAGGAGTCTTTGGGATACAATTAATAAGAAGAAAATGTCAACTTCTTCAAGTGATAAGAGGAATTCCTATATTCAAAATGTTAATACAACATTTTGTGTTTCCCAAAAAGCTGACAGAGTTCGGAGCCCACTACAAGCCTGTGAAAATTTGGCTATGAAAGAAGGCTGTTTCCTAACAGAAAACAATTCTTTAAGCCTTGAAGAAAATAAAATACCAATATCACCTATTAGTCCCATTTTCAAAGAATGCCATGGTGACACGTCCTTGCCTCTTTCTGTACGTCGATCTACTACATACACATCTCTTCACGCATGTGAAAACGGGGAATTGTTGAAAGTAGAAGGTGCCGATGGCTCGGAAGATTTTAATTTTAATGAGAAAGTGACAAGTGAAACTTCCTTTAGCTCCATACATAATATGAGTGGCCAAATTGAAGAGAATAGTAGTAAGCTTATTCTTACCCCGACCTGTTGTTCAACTTTGAACATTACACAAAGCCAAGGAAATTTTCTAAGTCCAGATTCCTTTGTAAATAACAGCCATGCAGCTAATAATGAACCAGAGGTAGCTACATGCCTTTCATCAGATACGTTTAGGAAAGATAATTCAAGTCCTGTGCATTTGGAATCAAAAACTGCACATAAAACTTACCGGACAATTTTAAGTCCAGATTCTTTCATAAATGACAATTATGGACTAAAACAGGATCTAGAACCAGAGTCAATTAACCCAATTCTGTCCCCAAATCAATTTGTAAAAGATAATATGGCATATATATGTATGTCTCAGCAAACATGTAAATTATCATCATCAAATAAAAATTCTCAGGTCTCACAGTCTCCTCAAGATCAGAGAACAAATGGAGTTTTAACTTTTTTTCGTGAATGTCAGGGTTCACAATCTCCTGAAGCTATTTTTGAAGAGTCCAAAACTTTAGAAATGAAGTCAGATTGCTACAGTTTTACAAAAAATCAGCCTAAATTTTCTGTAATTCAGAATATTTCTAGTTACAGCCATGATAAACGTACAAGACGCCCAATACTTTCTGCCACTGTTACTAAAAGCAAATCCATTTGTAGCAGAGAAAACCAAACTGAGGCTAATAAACCAAAGGCAAAAAGATGTCTCAACAGTGTTGCAGGTGAATTTGAAAAACCAACAGATACTCAAAAAGAGAAAAGTGGTTTTCAGTCTTGTCTTCCAGTTATAGATCCAGTGTTCAGTAAATCTAAGAGTTATAAAAATGCAGTAATTCCTTCCTCAAAGACTGCTTTAGTCGCTCGCAAAAGAAAGAGTGAGGGAAACAAGGAAGATGCAAATGTGAGAGTCACGGTTACAGAACATACAGAAGTACGAGAAATCAAAAGAATCCATTTTTCTCCCGTGGAATCTAAAATGGCAACTGTTAAAAAAACAAAAAAGATGATAACACCCATCTCAAAACATATTAGCTACAGAGAGAAATCAAACCTGAGGAAGAAAACGGGTGAGTCTTGTTTGTAAAATCTTTAATGAAAGCGTACATATAAGGAGCATATTTTCTGTTTCTTTTGGTTTAGTAAATGTCCTGTTGATAAGCTTGCATTAAGTTGTACTTTTCGTTTACCAGTTTGCTTCGTACAAGATGGAAAAGGGTGGGGCTGAATTCTAAAATCCTTTTGATTTTGTTCTTACTTAAACTTTGATATTTTGTTCATTATGATGTTTTTGCCTTAATTTTAATGTAAAAAAAAAAAATACTGCATTAAAATATTTACCTTGATTACCCCAGTTACTTGGTACCCACCTCAAGTTTTACACCCAGGGGAAAGTACTTCACTTGCCTCACCTTAGTCCAGCCCTGACTGGAAGAGCTAGTGGTGTCCCTGGATCCCATATTACCATCTGAGAAAATGCAGAAGTTGTCTTTACATACTCTGTGTACCTCATGACATTATTCTCCCTCAGCCTTTACTTAGCCATTAATTAGCAACATAGATAGAGCCCCAGAGCTCTACATTCCTTTGGGAAAAATGTCATTGTTCCTTCCCCAGTACAACTGGGCCACCAAGACTACCTCAAAAACAGGACTAATTCCATCATGCCCTTTTAACCCAAATTACCTCATGGTAGTTAAGGTCCAGGAAGGGAAACAAACCACTCTACTTATTTAACAGATAATTTAAAAGAATCCTAGAGCTCCTAGGAAGTATCACACATCTGTATTATCTCATTTCTCTTTGAACGTCCCTTCCTTAATTTGAACCGTTTTCTATATCTCTCCAGCTCTTTCAAGTGTCTGTGCCCTCTGGACTTACTCTCTTTCATTAGCATTATCTTTTCTAAACATTCCCTCAGTTTCTTACCTTGCTGAAACGTGGCTCTCCCCTGAAAACACTGTTTTCATTGCCACCTTCTCAAGTTATGTCTGTTTTCTTCCGTATTCCTCTGACCTTGGGCCTCTTAATGGAATAGTGGACCACCTTCCTTCTCACATCTACTATTGTTTCTCCTTTCTTCCTTGAAAAACAAACAAAAAACAAACAGCAACAAAACAGCTTGAAGCTCATTTTTCATTCTCTTCCACCCATGTTCTTCCTTGTTAAAGTAAAAGATTACTCTCAAGATTTTTACATTTGGCTTCTCCAAAACTACCGTCATTATCCTTTATGATTTCAAAATCCTTGTAGTGTATCCTTTCAATATTCTGGCCTTTTGATTCCAACGTACCTAGGCCACACTCTCCTAAAAGTCTCCAAACTCCAATCTCCAATCACCATCTCTGTGATTTTAGCATTTTCTCTTGAAACCCAGCTCCAACATTTTTTCTCCTCTTCATACACTCACAGTCCTTTAATCTATCATGGTTTCCACAGTCCTCACTCTGACATGTCCTTACTTTCCTACTTATACAGCTTGGATTCCATAACTCAGCATCATCATTTAATTCATCGCTCTTCTCCCTCGTTGTATTTGCCTAGGAAATTCCATCCCAATCCAACCCTCTCTGCTCTGTGCTTGAACCTTGCTGGTTGGTCTTTAATGACCACTAATTTCAAGCAAGCCCTTAACTCTTTTTGGCTACATCTTTTTGGATTTATTGGCTTATATCGATTTACTGTAGACTATCTTATCCCTCCGTTCTTTTCTCCTGAAACTTCTAACACCTCTCATTCCTCCTCTCTCATCGTTGATAATAGGAGGTAATATTTACTGAGCATGTGTTCTGTCAGACCCAGTTGTAAGTGCTGTCCTATTACCTCATTTAATACTGATAACAATTACACCAAATAATTATAATCAATACAGTATTTTTTAATGTTTATTTTTGAGAGAGTGGAGGGAAGGGGCAGAGAAAGAGAGGGACAGAATCCCAAGCAGGCCCTGTGCTGACACAGATCCTGTGCACACAGCAGATTCTGTGCCCTTCTACCCAAGGACGTTGCTTTAGCAATTGTCTTCTCTGTCTCATATCTTAATTTTTTACTCTCTAATGGGTCATTTCTGATACAAATATGCTGTTATTACTTCCATCTCTTAAAACAAAAACAAGGGGCGCCTGGGTGGCTTGGTCGGTTAAGCGTCCGACTTCGGCTCAGGTCATGATCTCACGGTCCGTGAGTTCGAGCCCCGCGTCGGGCTCTGTGCTGACAGCTCAGAGCCTGGAGCCTGTTTCAGATTCTGTGCCTCCCTCTCTCTCTGCCCCTCCCCTGTTCATGCTCTGTCTCTCTCTGTCTCAAAAATAAATAAATGTTAAAAAAAAAAAATTAAAAAAACAAAACAAAAACAAAAACAAAAACACCTCTTATTGATACCACTTACCCTCCTGCAGCCCCTGCTCCATTCTTCTGCTTTCCTTTGAGCAAAACTCCTTGCAAGTACCTAAGTATTCACTTTGTGATAGTTCGCTGAGATATGGACACTTTTTTTTGTGTAAACATGAATTAAAAGGTGCTTTTTAATGCAAAAAAGTCACTTAGAAAGTTGCTTGTATTGGCTGTTTCCAATTCCTCTCCTATTTTTTGAACGCACTTCAATGAGCTTTTGACGACTTCACTGAAACCTTTCTTATCAAGGTCCTCGATACCTCCCTACTGTTAAATCCAGTAGATATTTCTCAATCTTCATCTTGAACTCTTAGCAAACTCTTGGATGCTTTGAGCCTCTGCCTTCTTGGAACGCTTTATTCTGCCATCCCCTCTCTCTCCTGGTTCTCTTCCTATTTCGCTGGCTGCTTCTTGGTTTTCCTTGTTCAGTGCTCTTTATCATCCCGGCCTCTAAATCCTGGAGTAAGTGAAGGCTTAGTCATTGAACCTTTTTCATACTTTTACTCATTCTGTTAATGATCTCATTCCATCTCCTAGCTTTCAGTGCTGTCCATACATGGCATCCTCCCAATTTTGTATCTTTAGGATGGACTTCTAATCTGTAGACTCATTTATCCAACATGTAATGCTTTTGCTTCACTGTCTAGTGAGCATCTTTAATTTGTCCAAAGCCAAACCTTTACTGTCCCCTCTTCCATGATACACATACCTGGCATGTTGCTTCCATCACAACGCTTGCTACTGTGACCTCTCATCTCAGGCCCAAACCTTGTAAATGTCCTTAAGTGTCTTTCTCTCCCAGCTTTTCTTTATAAATTCAGACAGTCTGTCTGATTCCAAATTCAGTCCATCAACAAATTCTTTTCTTTTTTTTAAGTTCATTTATCGGGGCTCCTGCATGGCTCATTCGGTTAAGCAGCCTACTTTGGTTCAAGTCATGATCTCATGGTTCATGAGTTCGAGCCTGTCATCGGATCCTGTGCTGACAGCTCAAAACCTGGAGCTGCTTCAGATTCTGTGTGTCTCTCTCTCTGCCCCTCCCCTGCTCACTCGCTCGTTCTATCTCTCAAAAAATATGAATAAATGTTAAAAAAAATTTTTAAGTTTATTTGTTTTGAGAGAGAGACAGCCAGAGGGGTAGAGAGAGAGAGAATCCCAGGTAGCGCAGAGCCCGATGTGGAGCTAGAACTCCGGAACCGTGAGATCATGACCTGAGCCGAAACCAAGAGGCTGATGCTTAACCAACTGAGCCACCCAGGTACTCCGAACAACAAATTGTATCTTCTCTTTCTTCCAAATACGGAGTTTGATCACTTCTCACCATTTCCAGTGGCACCTGATTTAGTCTGTGTCATTGCAGAGCCTACTAACAGACGTTGTTTTCACCTTTGGCTTCTCTATAGTCTTATTTTCCAGTAGCAATGAGGGCAGTACTTTGAAATCTTGGAGTGTTATGCCTTCAGCTTTGTTCTTCTTTCTCAAGCTTGCTTTAGCTATTTCGGGGCTTTTGTGGTTCCATGGAAATTTTTTTTTTTTTTTTTTTTTCAACGTTTTTTTTTATTTATTTTTGGGACAGAGAGAGACAGAGCATGAACGGGGGAGGGGCAGAGAGAGAGAGGGAGACACAGAATCGGAAGCAGGCTCCAGGCTCCGAGCCATCAGCCCAGAGCCCGACGCGGGGCTCGAACTCACAGACCGCGAGATCGTGACCTGGCTGAAGTCGGACGCTTAACCGACTGCGCCACCCAGGCGCCCCGGTTCCATGGAAATTTTAAGATTGTTCTATTCCGGTAAAAAATGCCTTTGGAATTTTGGTAGGAATTTCATTGAGTCTGTAGATTACTTTGGATAATATGAACATTCTAACAATGTTGATTCTTTAAATCCATGAGCCTGGAATGTCTTTCTGTTTGGTTTTGTCTTCAGTTTCTTTCATCAGTGTCTTACAGTTTTCAGTGTACAGGATTTCACCTCCTTGGTTAAATTTATTCTTAGACATTTTATTCTTTTGATGCAATAGTAAATGGAATTGTTTCTTAATTTCTCTTTCTGATTGTTGTTAGTGTATAGAAATGCAACAGATTTTCATATATCGATTTTGTATCCTGCATCTTTCCTGCGTTCGTTTATTCCAACAGTTTTATGTTGGAGTCTTTAGGGTTTTCTGTATTTAATATTTCATCTGCAAATAGTGACAGTTTTACCTCTCTCTTTCTAAATTGAATAACTGTTATTTCTTTTTCTTGCCCAATTATACTATGTTGAATAAAAGTGGCAAGAGTGGGCATCCTTGTCTTGTTTCTGACCACGTGTCTTCTTCCATTCTTACCTGTTTTTTTCCTCAGTAATTCAAATCTTTCATTTATTTCAAGTACTATAATCAACTTTTATTAACTCTACTCCCTGATGAATTTGCCGCTAGGTACCTTCCCTAAGCAAATTTGAATTCAGCGTATATGACATCTTGTATGTACCTGTAAACTCTGTTTCTTTGCCTGTGTTGTTTTCTTGTTTCCTATAGATATTATCTGACCAGGTAACAAATTCCTTGAGAATAAGGAACGTACATATATACCTTTTTTATTTTCTACAAGGTGTACAATAAGTGATGAATGAATGACTTACTAAATAAGCCACTGAAGTGTTGACATTTGAACCTATAGTTTCTTTAAGGTGGCCACCTAGTTGAGCCTCTTTGCAGGGTTTAGAAAGAATTAGACACGCTGAGTATCTGATTTATGAGTCTATATGAGAGCATGGTAAGTCACTAAGAATGACTGACTCTTCTTTCTATTCTGATGAACCTAGGAGAGCAGAGAAAGAAGACAGTTTTCCTAGATGCATTTATTCAGTATTTATAAGGTGCCTGCTGTGTGCTACGCATTGTTCTAGGCTTTATGGATATGAGGGAGAAAAGGTAGAGTTTCTGTGTTCAAGTTATCTCAGTCCTCTGACTGAGCTATGCACAGGGAATCACGAAAGCACAGAAATGGAGGCACTTTACTTGGCTGTTGTGAATGGCGAGGAGCTGTGAGATGGTTCCAGGAAAGGCTGCTCACAGGATAAAATGACTCCAGGCAGAGAGACTAGCTTCTGCAATGTTTCAAAATGAGGATTTTTTTCCTCTTAATGTTTAAAAGGTTCAAACACAAAGAAACTCAGAACCTAATAACTATCATGTCACAATTGACGGTGTTCCTTATTTTCACAATTGGCGAAGATTTGCGATCCTTCTAAATCAAAACTAAGCAAACTTTTCCTCTAAAGATCCAGATAATAAAAATTTAGGTTTTGCAGGCCAAATGGTCTCTATTGCAACTACCAGACCGCCACTATTGTAGAAGGAGAAAGAGTCATAGACAATGTGTAAGTGAATAAGTGCAGCTGTGTTCCAATAAATTTTATTTATGTATACTGAAATTTGCATTTCATGTAATTTTCAAGTGTCGTGAAATACAGTCATTTTGATTTTTTCTCAACTTTTTACAAATGTAAAAACTATTCTTGGATTGTCGACTGTACAGAAGTGGCTGGATTTTGCCTGTGGGGCATAGTTTGCCCTCTGCTGTTTTTTATTAGCTCTTCATATTTAGCAGGTGTATAATCTGATGAAACTTGCTTTGGAGGAAGTGAACTGCTATCCTGATATAACCTATATCAACCTAGAAACGATATCACTTTGCCACTGTGACTCTTATTATACTTTTCTTTGTAGGTACCACCTACTGTCTCCCTCGGTTCCCTGGGTTAGATAACCTGGACATCATCTGCAGTTCTCATTCTTCTATCACCTGCCTAGCCAGTGGTTGTTAAGGCTTGTAGGTTCTATTAGAATGACTCTTTCTAATTTGTCTCTACTGCTTCTGTTTTAATTTAAATTCTCATAGTAGCTAACTTGCGCTACTATAATAGCTTCCTCTTAGCTTTCTATCTCTAGTCTTGATCCCTTTTATTCCGTTGGCCACTGTTTTCTAAAATGTAAATGGTGGCGTCACCTCCTAGATTTGAGTCTTTCATTGGCATACCAGGTACTTCCAACTGACTAATAGTGCAGGCTCTGGGACTACAGTGCCCAACTCTGCCACTTACTAGCTTGTGTGACTTTGACCAACTTGCTTAATTGTTCTAAGCTCCAGTATCCTAATTATATAAAACCAAAACCTATTTTTATAGAAAACCTATAATAACAATAATACACTTCTTATAGGTTTTCTGGGATAATTGCATGAGGTATTCTATATTAAAAGACTATGCTAGTGCCTGCAGCAAAGCATTCAAACATTAGCTGCCACTATTATTTTTACTATGATTGAAGTCTTTTCTACTTCTTTCAACCTCTTCTTGTATTGTTTTTCTGATATGTATTTTTTATTCAGGCACATTGCAGTTCTGTCAACAGGCCACATGCCTCATGCCTAGCTTCCACTTTAAGAGTCCGCTCAAGTGTATTCCCATTTAGGAAGGCTGTCCTGCCCTTTTAAGTGAAGTTAGCTGTCCCTTCTCCTTGTTCTCATTGCTGCTTAAATGTTGTATTTTTCCTTTGTGTATTATATTGTAATTCCTTTTAAACTTCTGTACTAGACTGAGAACTTCCTAAGGGGTGGGGCCGTATCTCAATTCTGCATTCTCAGTACCTAGCATAGAATCTGCAATATATACATAAAATAAATTGTGATTGAATGTGACTCCTAGCTTCTATAGGCACACAAGTTAAAGTGTAACTTCTGGTGTAGAACTTCCAGATGTAGGTTTTATTGACCACCAAGTTCATAGAGTAGTACGGGGTACATAGTAGCTATTCAGTATTTGCTAAATGGATGTGATACTGAAGAACCAAATTTAACTTTAAGACAGTTCATTCATGGAACTTATTTCATTTTTAATGCTATTATTCTACTTTCTAACTTATTTTAGATTCATTAGTATATAGAACTCCTCATTCTAAAACAAACAAAAGGACAAAACCCATTGTTGCTGTGGCACAGTCTACTCTGACCTTCATAAAACCATTAAAAACAGGTAAGTGTTTACTATCTTTAAAGTCACTGAAAAACTGCCATGGAATGAAGCATGAATGACATTTGAAATGGAAATGAATTGATACTTTTTTGTTGCATTAAAGCCTCGAGGCATTTTAAAATGTGTATTCAAATAACAATTAGGATATTTTCTCAGACTTCGGTGAAATTGACTCAGGTAACTTAGGATTTTTAAATAACCAGGAGATGGGGCGCCTGGGTGGCTCAGTCGGTTAAGCAGCCGACTTCGGCTCAGGTCATGATCTCGCGTTCCGTGAGTTCGAGCCCTGCGTCGGGCTCTGTGCTGACAGCTCAAAGCCTGGAACCTGTTTCAGATTCTGTGTCTCCCTCTCTCTGACCCTCCCCTGTTCATGCTGTGTCTCTCTGTGTCTCAAAAATAAATAAACGTTAAAAAAATTTTTTTTTAAATAAATAAATAAATAACCAGGAGGTACAGCTCTACTTTTTCCCTTTAAACTTTGATTATATTTTGTACCTAAAACGCTTTCAACTGTTTGCACTAAATAGTGGAAAAGCGAATATTGTTCAGTGTTTTAAAGGTGGTTTTGCTAGGAAAAATGGTCTTTTGCTATATATTGCATAATAATGTAAAAGAGAACTTCTCATGCAATAAACCAATTGTATTCGTAGATATTCCTAGACACCCAATGCCGTTTGCTGCAAAGAACATGTTTTATGATGAACGCTGGAAGGAAAAGCAGGAGCAGGGCTTCACTTGGTGGCTAAATTTTATATTAACTCCTGATGACTTCACTGTAAAAACAAATATTTCTGAAGGTAAACATTAAATTAATGTTTAAGTTAAATAATACTGTTTTAACAGATAGTTTTTAACATGAATTTTCATTTTTTTAATTATACATATATATTATAGTTAATGGCATAGCTCACTAATTCATTGACATGAATGCTAAAGATTCATATAAGTGAGAATTTTTAGGGAATTCTGTACTGGAAGTACTAAACTTTTTTTTTTTCTTTTTGCTTACCATTCTTGTTAATCAGCCAATTCAATTCCAGCCTTTCAGGGGAATGAGTTTTATTTTAATGCAAGTTCAGTCTGAATTAACAGTGAAACATGACTACTAAGAAATCCAATTCAATCTTAACCACATTAATAAAGTGTAATGTCCTGGTGAATAAATCTAATAGCGTTACATGACCTGATCCTTTCAGGCATATTGTCTTCCCTTTTTTTTTCTTTTTTTGTCTCCACTTTCACATACCTTAGTTTGAGATGTGTGTAGGAAGACTACAGAATTTTGAGGAATCTTAAAACCAGTTGATATGGAGAAACATCTCAGTGTTTGTTCTGGAAAAGGGAAAGCTCAGATGTAGAGCAAGATGGAAACATGCTGTCCTTCAAACATTTGAAGGCTTTTTTCCTGAGAGGAAGGGAAACTTAACTTGTGCTACTCTTGCATAGAAATGATAGGGATCAGTTCAACTCAAGATAAGGAAGAATCTTTGTAAACATTTAAATTGCCAAGCCATCGCATAGGCTGTCTTTAAGATGATGGTTTCTCCACTGTTACAGTGTTCAGGGAGAGGCCAGTCTATATTTGTTAAAGAACGATATATAGGATTTTCCCATTAAAAGCCCTTTGATTAGATGATCTCTAAGGCTGCTTTTCTTTTTCTCCAGAAGTAAACACAGCCTGATACTTAGTTCTCTTGGGAGAAAATGTGTTTTATAAAATTTCAAATTGCATTTCAAAATTTAATTGAGTTTTTTAAAGTCATGTTCTTTAAGAGACTTTTTTTTTGCTTTTAATTTATGCAGAGGATGGAAACAGAGAAACCAGTTAGGAGACTATTTTAGTCTAGGTTAGAGTTGATTGATAGTGTTTGAACTTGGATAATAGTGGTGGATAGCGCTAGAAGTAACTCTCACGTTAGACTTGGGATCCATTTTGCAGGTAGAGCTCCAGGTTGCGATGATAGAATGGCCCACGGTATTGAGTGAAGAGTGACACTCATATTTTGAGATAGGAAAGAGAAGAGCAAGCTTGTAAGGAGCAGAGAAGAAATCCTATTTTGGCCATCTTAAATTGCATGTATTGCTGGATTTAAGGATATGGATCTATAGTTTCACCGGAAACATTCTTCCTTTTGTTTTTACCCAGTAAATGCTGCTACTCTTCTTTTGGGAGTGGAGAGTCAACATAAAATCAGTGTTGCTAGAGCTCCTACAAAAGATGAAATGTCTCTCAGAGCTTACACGGCTCGGTGCCGGCTGAATCGATTACGTCGGGCAGCATGTCGTTTATTTACTTCTGAAAACATGGTCAAAGCTATTAAGAAGCTTGAAATTGAAATTGAAGCTAGGCGGTTGATTGTTCGAAAAGATAGACACCTCTGGAAAGATGTGGGTAAGAAGATATAGAAATCTTGAGATTAGTTCGTTGAAAACACTTGAGATTTTGTATTTTAGAGTCAGATTTGTACATGATTTCGCTTTGCTGCCCACCATCTTATACACTTTAACATGATCAATATATATTTAAGAATGGATATATATTTAAATTAATTGATTTCATGTATGTAATTATCTCTTTTTTCCACTGATTTCTCTCCATAAAATTTTATTTATTGTCTCTATTTGATTAGTGGTCTGAGCTTAACTTGCTTTTCACATGCATTTCAGGAGAACGGCAGAAAGTCCTGAATTGGCTGTTATCATATAATCCTTTGTGGCTACGTATCGGCCTAGAGGTGAGTATATACACTTCAGTTTTTGAAATGATATACTTTAAAAAAAGTATACTGTAAATTTTTTAAATTATTTTTAAAACTTTTTATTATATACTTTTATTGTGCATATTATATACATATATATTTTATTATATATTCCTTTAGTAGACTTTTTATTATATATTTTTAATAGATTCTTTAATAAAATGTAGTTTCACTTATAAAGTCATTTGGTTAGTTTAATTGATCTTTGAGTATAAAATTTAAGGTCCTTTAATAAATACTCATTAGGTAATTAGATCATGCCATTATGTATTATTGCCATGTTATCACAAAAGAACTTTCCTGGTAGTTTTCTTAAATATCAATAGTTTGGTACTTGATATAATAACAGGTATAGTAAACTCTTTTTTGAGCTTTTACAAATGATCATACTGGGCCATTTTAAATATATTTCAAATAATTGAAGCCTCTTTAAAACCCAGTGAGGTGTGTATTACTATTTCCATTTCACTGACAAAACTGAACCTTAGATTTTTTTTTTTT